GGGTCATTGTCAGAATCCGATCTGGTGAGAGAGAAGAGATGGAAAGAGTGCCTGAGGGGAGAGGTTGGCCATAGGTAGGGACGGGGACATCGCATCCATGTAAGAGTGAGCGCTGAAAGTACAGGTCAAGATGAAGGTAGATTGGAAGTTGGGAAGCTGGTATAGCTCTTCTCGGTTTCTGTTAGTGAAATAAGGATTAAATAGGCAGTTTGACGTGGGATGGAGGCTGAGGCTGTTGGATATAAAGGTATAAAACTCTTGGAGAGTAGGAATGGAAATTTACTAGGGGAATACTGAACACCCACTTGAGACTTTGGCCATGAATGTGTACCCGGGCATGTATGTTGTCTTCTCTTGGCTTGTTCTGCTGCTTGGGTGTGGGTTGAGCCAGGGTTAAGATTCTGTCAGGTGATGATCTATTTCTGTGGGTGAGAGATGCAGAAAATGGAAGGATTATACTGATGGATGAAGTCCTTTAAGGCATGAAGAAAGGAAGCGGAGGACATGAAGGGGAGGGACAGAAGTGGGAAAAAGTGATGGGATCAATGAGGTTGAATGAATCCCAGGTTTTTAACCCAACCACTAATTTCCCTTTCTGGCAGATGGCGAAGGCTTATGGTATTCACAGTAGGGCATGGGGTAAAGAAAAGCTTATGCAAAAGGCAGTTTTCAGATGAGCTTGCCTCCTGAAGTTTATTTGATATTATTGTGCTGCTTGGATTTTTATTCTCCTTCTCAAAATCATATTGTGTTATTTCCATGGAATCTGTAAGTCTTACCTTAATGAAAGGAAATCTCCTTAGATGGCTGTGTTAAAAAGTTTAAGATGTATTTTGTTTTTGTCTTTGGAGGCCATCCCGGTGAGAATTAAAACTGAATGAAGATCCTCCTGTCAATCATCTGTTACTCATTTTCAGGAGATATGTATATGTGAAAGGGATGCTTGGTTTCTTTCCTTTTTGGTTTTTAAATTGATAATGATCCAGTGGAGACTGTAGACATTACTCTGTATACATCTGGAATTTTTATTTTCTATAGAAGTCAGAATCTTACTATTTGCCACTGAAGTTAATTGATGTCTTTCCCTAGAGCTGGTTAAGTTATTAGGATGGTAAAAGAGATCTATTTTGGGTGCCTGGGTGGCTCAGTTGTTAAGCGTCTGCCTTCGGCTCAGGTCATGGTCCCAGGGTCCTGGGATCGAGTCCCACATCGGGCTCCCTGCTCCATGGAGAGCCTGCATCTCCCTCTCCTGCTCCCCCTGCTTGTGTTCCCTCTCTCGCTGTGTCCCTCTCTGTCAAATAAATAAAATTAAAAAAAAAAAAGAGAGATCTATTTTAAGGCTTATGTGAAGCCTCTTAACCATCCATTAGTGAATTAACCTGTCTTTACGTTTCGTGTACGGATTCAAAATTTGCAGGCTCTGCTGTTTGCACAGGAAGCCTGACTCAGCATGTTTTATAAAATGAGGCAGCAGCATCCTTTTTCCTGTGCCTCAGTGTTTCTTCGTTTGATATTTGTCTTCTGGGCTAATACGGCAGTTAAGTTTTATTTGAAAGATTTTTCTAAGATTTCAGTCACGTTTATATGCTTTTCAGAGTTAGGAAATTAACCGGGGCTTGGGCCTTAGACATGATGAGGTTTTAACTTAGGTATTTCTCACCCGATGACCTGTTCAGAAGTCCTGGTTTTATAAGATGAGGTCACCCAACTATGCTTTGGAAACCAGTATCTTGTTTGAGTTTTAAAAAAACTTTCATTTCCTTCCCCAGAAACCCAAACACCCAACAACAGGAATTATTGCCATCACGCTGGCCTTTCACATATGTCATGAAGTTCACCTTGCTGGTTTTAAATACAACTTTTCTGACCTCAAGAGTCCTTTGCACTATTATGGGAATGCCACCATGTCTTTGATGAATAAGGTAATATATACATACACACTTGGGTATAATCTCTGATCTTTACAGTTGCAAAGCCTCTATCTTCTTTTCTATCATTTTTACTGAAGGAACAGGTTTTGAGAGTTTGAGAGCTGCTTAACCCTACCCAAGAGTTACCAAAGACTGAAACTGGGACTCAAATCCAGGCAGTTCCAATTTGTGGGCCTCAGACCCTTGGGAATAGGACATAGTTATTATCAAGTAGCATTAAACCCCTCTAGACACCAAGCCTTATTTTAGATCATGTTTGCACTATTTAAATATGCATGTAGGCAACTTGCTGTTGATAACAATCTCAAACTCACTTAAAAGCATTGCCATGGAACAGGGACACTCATCCACGTAAGAGGATTGAGCACTGAAAACATGGTAAAGATGAAGGTAAATTTGGAGTTGGGAAGATGATATAACTTTTTGCTGTGCTTTTCAACAGATTTTTTAGTTAAGCAGAGGGGGAGGTCTGTAACGTTTTCACTCCATGAGGGAATATTCATGGTCAAAAAGGTTGCAAACGTTTATAGTAGATCATGCTTCTCTTGAATTAGAGATCAGTGGTGGTCGATAGGATCTTTAAGACTTAACTGAATGGGAAGGAGTTGTCTGAGGTTAGTGGCATATCACAAATGATAGGACTAAAATGTTATCTGTACATTTTTAATATGGAAATATGAATGATTTGCTGTAAAGTAGGGATATATCCTATGTAATCAGTCCCCTTAGGTCATCATCCCCAAACACTACCATAAGCCAAAGACGTGGTATTATTCAGGTCAGACCTTCATATATTACCTCATCTCCTACCCCTTGTGAGACAAACACTTGAGTAGTTCAAGTGTTAGGTGCTTGCGACAGACTTCAGGATCATTTCTCCTCAGCCCTAATCTTTTAGCACTTGTGGGATTTCTAGCCATCTAAATAACAGAACATTGAAACAATTTCCTGAGGAAAATTAGGATATCCATCAATAGAACAGAATTATTTTTAAAAAATCTATCTTAGCCATGCTTTACAATTGCTTCTTTAGGCTGATTTCTATTATGAATTTCAGGTGCTGTTTTTATTAAAGTGATCAACCCATTTGACTTAAAATTTTGGTCTCTAGTTTTATATCCTGATTTAGGAGATGGGGGGAATGATAAGAAGGGGTGCTCTTATGTGAGGATTTAAGGGGAAACAGCAGGCTAAATTTAGGGAACACTGGCAAAAGAATGAGCAAAGAAAAAGGTAACATAAGTTTAAAGTCTACCTGTATACTTGTGACTTGAGTTTTTTATTCAGAAGCTTTTTAGATACAGTGTATCCCATTGTTGCTGTTAATGTTTTGAGACTGGGATAGATGATTTTTTCCTTTTCTTCTCTAGAATGCATATCACAATGTGACAGCGGAGCAGCTCTTTTTGAAGGACATTATAGAAAAAAACTTTGTAATCAACTTGACTGAAGATTGACTCTACAGACTCAGAAGACGACGCTAACAGTATTAGTTTTATTTTTATACGGCAATTTTTAGTTTATTTTTAAATATGTTGGATGCACTTGTCAAAAAATTGTGTATATTAAGTCTTTTACTGCCTGGTGATTCATAACCACCAGCTTAATTTTTGTGAATATATTTAATTTATAAAAACCAAGATATGCTTAGTTATCAGGGAAAGAAGTTTTGATTGCATTGTTTTTAAAACAAGCTAGTTTTCCGAAGTGTTTCTAAACATCTTTTTATAATTAGTTCATCTTAGACTTTTGAGAGGATGTGACTTCCTAATAAGGGGCTTTAGTTGACCACAAGTTTTGAGCACAACATTTGGCTACTGTAAATTGGTGGGGAATGGCCATGTGTTTGTGCCTTGATGTGGCAAACTGGAACCACTTTAGGCATGTAGCTAGATGATTGTTCCTTTTTGTTGTAGCTGAGGAAACAGATTTGAATCTTAAAGCAGCCCTGAACATAACAGTAGGTATGGTTATGGAAATCTAAGATCATACTGTTTTCATTAAGCTTTTTTTGTCTTGCAATTAAGTGAACCATGATTATAATGAGTAATCGGGTAGAAGGAAGGTGGTGTTTTTAAGGTGAAGGAAATAGGCTAAACATGAAATTCTGGACAAGTAAATAATCTAAGAATGCAATTACTAAAGCCTGGTGACTGCATTATTTTAAAGCTCATACAAAGTAGCTGAGCTAGGCAAGCTCAAGGAGACCATTCTTAAATTTTCTGCCTGGCTTAATATATTAAAATTTGAAAGTTTACTATTTGAATTAGGAAAAATGAAGATAAATCCTTGAGACTAAACAAGATGTTTTTTGGATTTAAATGGGAATTTCATGAACAATGTCAATTCTTCAAAGGGAAGGCTTACCTGGCTGCCTAGGGTGCATCAGAAAAGAGTCCTACTGGATGCAAACAAGTCAAAACCAACCTTTCGAACAAATGTGAGCTAGTGACCCTTCTCATTTAATACAGCCAAGGGCTATGGGGAGGGGAAAAAGGAAGAGAAGAGAATTACAAGAGGGATGGAATTAAAAGTTCTCAGAAGAGGTAAGAGTTGAAAGAATTGTTAATCTTTTGAACAATAATTATCATTGGGAGACACAGCTGGTGTTACCGGAAACCAACCTGCCTCTCTAAAGAGTATGTCAAACGCAGTATAAGGGGGGAGAAAACTCCGGGTTGATTTAAGCCAGATCTGGACATTAAATATGGACTGTGTTCTGTTAGCACGAGCATGCTTGCACAGTACCATGGTTTCACTGGATTCCTCTAATAACTCTGAGGTGGAAAAGATGGGTGTTCGCGTGACCTTTCCCTCCTACCACACAGTCAGAGTTTACCACACAAAATGCAGTCTGTGAACTAATTTAGGCTTCAAAAACAGATGGTCCGGGCTGGAGTAAAAGTAAAAAACCACTGGTAGCATTTTCAAATGTTACTGTAAGGTCTAGAATAATGGCAGTACAATTTCTGAGCGATGCTAAAACTGAGGAATCTGGCATTTTGTGTAGTATGAGAAAAGGCTACAAACTTCAACGTGGTTTCATATAAGCCAAAGGAAATTCTCAGCAAGATACATATGTACAATTTATTAAAAACACACGAACACATTAAGATCTCACTATTTATACAATCTAAATTCTAGCAACATATACAAATACTGAGTGACTACAGTACATGCCGAGGTAAGAAAAGTACATTCTGGGAGAATATCACTGACCCTCAAACCATTTTTATTTCCAATATGTATTTCAATGTTTTGTTTCCACCTTTCCCAGTGCCAAAAAAACAACAAACAAAAAAACTAGTCACAAATTGGAGTAAATAATTGGTGCCACAGTTGAACTAAAAAGTATTTTAATAACCATCCAACACTTACTAGATTTTGCAGTTTAGGGACTTCAAGTTCAGAACAGAAAAGCAGAGCTAAAAGGAAGTTTTTCTTAAAGGTAGAGCCCAACAGATTTCTCTTAAAAGGGTTTGAAAAGTTTTTGTCCCACAATCTTAGTTCTGTCCTCTGACCTGGTGCTTCCATAGCCCTTATGCTCTCCAGGTGTCAATGTGGGGCCAAGGCAAAGAAGTTCAAGCTTTCTCACCTTCCACAGAATTTTAGATGAGTGCATTTTCTACTGGGGCAGGGGAGGACAAGAGTGCACATGACACCATAGTTTCAACTGCTGTATAAATTCTCTACACAAACCATTTCATCAGCGGATAAACCCATTGTTCAATGCAAAGTGCAAATAGTGAAACTTGAATTTAAATAACTGGACTAGACCCTGCACATACAATAGGATCTATTTAGTGTTATAGCTTTTAATAAAATATAAATCAGTATTCACAATATCTTTAACTGTGCTGGTTCCTAAGATTATGTAACAGTGAAGTTGGTGTGACGTTATGAAAACCTGCAGGGGCCACACTTGCTGTACCACTGATTCGATTTTTATCATTGTGTTAACAGGAAAAAAAAATCCAATAAACCAGAGTGACTTAAGTCTTTAACATGTTTCAAGCAAAGAGTAAAAATTCAAGGGAATTTAGTAACGAAAAAAAAAAGTTACTTTCACATTTTCAGTTGATTGTCTCCACAGCTGCATCAGACATATAAATGTAGTTAAAACCCAAAACAAAACTCTAATATGAAAACAAATGAACTAAAAGTACAAAACCAGAATAACCCTTTGTATCAGGCTCAGCTCTTCATTTGGAAAGTAAAATATACAAAAGCAATAAAAACTATTTTGTAAAAATCACTTGTAGTTCAAGGACTGCACAGTGGCAAAAACATGCATCATTTGAGAAGAAAACATTTGCCTCTCAAAAAAAGTTCCATGGGAAAATCAGGTGCACAAAATTAAATAAAAACAAGCATCTTTGGGAAAATGGGGTCATTTCTCTTAAAGCTTCTCAAACAGGCATGTGATTGGAGAAGTACGTTCACTGTGTACTGAGGATAAATAAAAAAATAAATTGGTTTACTCTCTTCCCACCTGAAAGGGGATGACTGCATTAATAAATGTGCTTTACACATTCATGTCTTAATAAAGTTCAACATCTGTGCTTTTTGTTTCAAATGTTTGGAAACAATATATTTTTTCAATGAATAAAATTATGCCTCAAAGTTTGTCTGGAAAAGCAAAAGCAAATGAAGGTAACACCAACAAAAATAATACTATATGGCAGAGAGGCTGCAGAAATAATTGTTTTTGAAGCAATACTTTAAAATACTGATATACCTGGAAGCAAGCAAAATGAACACTGTCTTTTCTCACATCTAGCAAATTCTGGAAACAATCAAGAAATGGCTAGAACCTGATGGGAGAGTATATGTTTTAAACACAGGGCCAGCTTCTCATCTTGCCAAAGATTTTTAAAGATTCTTACACTATGGGCTAATAAATTAAATGAATTTTTATTTCACCCATCTAAAACTAGTTCTGGGCAAATGGTGACAAAGAAGTTGCCTGGAAGTATCAAAAACAGACGTCAATATTCACCTGCTAGGATGCTAGAACATCTGTTCCACAGGCATGCAGTAAAGGACTGTCACAACTCCTACGACACAGAGCGGGCACCCTCACACAGAGTTGAAGAATTCATGCTGGCTTCTACTTCTTTCAGTATTTTACTGTGGATAATTAGAAATACTTTTTGACCAAAAATAACTTCAGATTCAGAGAAACATCTCTATGTATTAAATCAAAGAGGGCAAATCCGTTTTTTGTTTTCTTGTGTTTTTTTTTTTTTAGAGTAATTTATATGACTTCTGAGGAATGATTCTAAGCCTTTCGCTGTGGTAAACATAAGGACTCCTGTCTACAGTGTTCACTCAGATGCCCTCCAACTCGCCTAGGACCAATCCCATTGCAAATAAATTTGGGGGCAGGGAGAGAATCTCTGTTAGAGCTTTTTACAATTAAAGGATTCATTAGGCTGATGAAGCAAGCATCACTCACTAAAAAAAAATTCAAAACAGTTTATAAACACAAGAACGGGGCTGGTCCCAGACAGAACAAGCAGGGATGAAACCAGGTCACGTACCATGAAGTGTGAAAGCTCTTCAGAGTGTCAAAAAGCGAAAAATCAATGACCCCACCCTTCGCAAGTCAGTTTCCCACTATAGACCTTCCTAAGGAAAGATAGGTAAGTGTACGACTACAACCAAAACGATGATTCTATCACTAATTTTTGAAAAAAATCCATAAGGAATATAGGAATGGAAGAGAAAGAACTCATGATAGTACCCACCTTTCACAAAGAGCAACATTTCAAGCCATCAGACATTTCAAGAACAGTACCACGCGTTATTGCCAGTCAGGCGTACAGAGCCACCTCGAGTTCATCAATGTACCTGCAGCATCGGTAATAAATACTCAGTGATTTTTAATTTCTTTGAAGTGCATAGTAGGGAGCTTTTTCTGTATTAAAAAATCGTGTTTTACAGTAGTAACAAACAGGATGTTTGAAATTTAACAGGCAAGCCGTCACTGCCACAGGAATGCTCTTAAAGCAAGATGGCAAGATTAGCAGTTCCCTGTACCTCGGTCCTCACATCTTCCCCGACCACAGCTGTGACAGGCAGGTAATACATTCTCTACATTACTACCACTAACACACAAGAAAGGCCATGTGCTTTACAACCATGCTTTGTAACAAGCAGCATCCCCTTCAAAGAGTTTCTTGAAAACCATCACATTCACCATCCCCCCTGGCCCCTGACGCCTCCTGTGTGCTGTGTGGCACCTGGTACACCAGTTCGCCTGGGGCACTGGCACCTGGTTTCCCACCCTTTGGGGTGTCATACTGGGCGCGGGCGGACGAGCAGCTGTCGGTCCTGGAGAGAAGAGTGTTGTAGGCTCCCACCACAGGGGGAGGCTGGTTCCCTGTAGCTTTGAAAGTGGACGTTGAGGGAAGACCAACTGAGGCTGGGGGGTGCCCGGACATATCCATGATGATTGGGGTTGCATATTCGGGCCCGGTAATCGGCAGTGGTTCAGCATAAGCATGGTAGACTTCCTGGACCGGGGAGTTGTAAGGATCTAGGTCAGCATAACTTGCTTCTTTCCCTTCTTCTGGTTTAAAGGTGGATCTCTGATGAAGGGTGCCAACAATTCCTCCCACAAGTGGTTGTGCATACTCTGTGGATATCACAGAACCAACGACAGAAAGGTCACCTCATTCACACAGGGATCAGCCGTAGCCCGACACCCAAAACACACCCTTCTTTACAGCACTTTTGTTCCTATCAATACAGACCTATGGATTTCTCTACCTGAACCAACTTAAAAAAATTAAACATGTTATCTTGTATCTCCTAAGAAGTTAATATGCCATAGAGCCTCATTCATGAAATTTTACAAAGAATGTATATGCTCTTCAGGTTATAAATAGTGTATCACTGGGGAAAAAAAAACCCATTCCATTATTAGAATATTCTCAAATAGGACAGTGTTTAAAATAAATATGTACTAGATTAATAGGATAAATACTGTAAGGCTCGCTACGGCTTTCCTACTCTTCACACTCAAATAAAACTCCAGGTAAACAGATAAAAATGCCCAGAGCTTTTTGAAATGTTCTCCAAAAAAGAGGAGTATGCATCTAAGGTGCAGAAATGACTCTCTCAAGGTCATCCTTTTAAAAAGCAGTTCTACCTCAAGAAAACCGTTCATCTCTTACATATGAAAAAGAGAAAAGACACCATAAATCCCAAATTTCCAGCCTAGTGTGGCAGTTTCTTCCTCCACTCTGTGGCGAAGGCCGCACGCGGTTACCTGCAGAGTCCGTCTGCAGCACTGTGGTGACTTCTCTTGGACTCAAGTGATTAACTTCACTGCTGCTGTAGCGAACGGGGGTTTCCTCGTGTTCCACTGATTTGGCAGGGAGAAACTGCTTCATTCCTTTCCACCAACCTTCATGGTGATTGTAAGCAAGAAAGAAAGACCATTAAATAAAACCCTAGGCCTGAAATGATGACATTGTTTACGGGAGAAATCCTGTTGCATTTAAGCCATTTACGTAACACACTAGTACAAACTAGCCTCTATGTTCAATCTCTCTCTCTTTTATTTTTTGTAGTAAAATACACATTACATAAAATTTACCATCTTAAGCATTTTTAAGTGTAGGTCAGGTGGCTTAAAAGTCGTGCACACTGCTGTGCAACTATCACTACCACCTATCTCTGTAACTTTTCGTCTTGTAAAACTAAAACTCCATCCCCATGAAACAGTGACTCCCCATTCTTCATTCCCCTCACCAATGGCAACCACCATCTTACTGTCTTCACTGTCTTTATGATTTTGACTACTCTAAGTACTTCATCTAAGTGGAATCATACAGTATTTGTCTTTTTGTGACTGGCTTATTTTGCCTAGCATAATGTCCTCAAGGTTCATCCATCTTGTAGCATATTACGGAAAATCTTTCCTTTTTAAGGCTCAATGATATTCCATTGCACTTATACAACACATTTTGCTTTTCCATTCCTCAGCAGATGGTCACTTGGGTGGCTTCCACATTTTAACTGTTGTGAATAACTTTGCAATGAAAACTGACGTACAAATAGCTCTTTGAGATCCTGCTTTTAATTCTGTTGGGTGGAACTGCTGGATCATATGGTCATTATTTTTCATTTATCAGGAACAGCCATAGTGTTTTCCGCAGCACCGAACCATTTTACAGTCCCACCAACAGTACACAAACATTCTAATTTCTCCACATCCTCATCAACTCTTACTGTTCTGTTTTTTTGATAGGAGACACCTCATGGGTGTGAGGTGTTATCTCACAGTTTTCATTTCCCTAAAGATTAGCGATATTGAGCATCTTTTCCTGTGCTTATTGGCCATTTGTATATATTCTTTGGAGAAAAGTCTACTCAAGTCCTTTGTCCATTTGTGAATTGTTTTTTTGCTGTGTTTTAGAAGTTCTCTAAATATTCTGGGTATGAATCCTTTAGCAGATACATGATTTGCAAATGCTTTCTCCCATTCTGTGGGTTGCCTTTTTACTTTCCGGATAGTGTATTCTGACACACAAAATTTTTAAATTTCCATGAAGTCTATTTTATTTCTTCTTTTGTTAATTGTGCATTTGCTGTCATAGCTAAGAAGCCATTGCCAAGTCCAATGTCATCAAGTTTTTGTCCTGTGTTTTTTTCCTACAAGTTTTATTGTTTAAGATACTACATTTTGGTCTTTCATCCACTTTTGAGTTTATTTTTACAAATGGGTGTTAAGTAGGAGTCCTACTTCATTCTTCTACATGTGGATATCCAATGTTCCTAGCACCATTTGTTGAAAAGACTGTCATTTCCCCAATGGTCTTGGCACCCTTGCCAAAAATCATTTGTCCATATTTAGGAGCATTTATTTCTGGGCTCTCCATTCCACTGGTGTGTATTTATGCCAATACCACACTGCTTTGATTAACTTTGCAGTAAATTCTGAAATCAGGATGTGTGAAATCTTCTAGTTTTATTCTTCTTTTCCAAGACTATCTTGGCTATTTGGAGTCCCTTAAAATTCTATATGAATTTTAGAATGGATTTTTCTGTTTGTACAAAAAATGTCACAGGAGTTTTGATAGGGATTGATATTGAATCTGTAGATTACTTTGGGTAGTACTGGCATGTTAATAGTATTAAGTTTTCAATCCACGAACACAGGGTATGTTTTCATTTATGTCTTTTTAAAATTTCTTTAGCAATGTTTCTAGTTTGCATTGTACAAGTCTTTTACCTCCTTGGTTAAATGAACTAAGTATTTTATTCTTTTTGATGCAAATGTAAGTGAAACTTTTTATAATTTCCTTTTCAGATTGTTCAGCTTGTGTACAGAAATGCAACTGATATTAATACTTAGGAGTTCACTGAACCAAGGAGGTAAAAGGTGTGTTGACTTTGTATCCTGATAGTTGGCTCAGTTATTGGTGCTAACAGCTTTTTTTTTTTTTTGGTGGAATCTTTAAGGCTTAATTCTCCTTTAAATGTTTGGTAGGATTTTTCTGAGAGATTTTTGATTATTGACTCAATCTCTTTAGTAGTTATATACAAGTCAATTCAGATTTTCTATTCTTTGTATTTAGTCTTGGTAGGTTTTATATTTCTGGTAATTTGTCAATTTCACCTAGTTCATTCAATTTTTTGGCATACGATTGTTCATAATACTCTCATAATCCTTTTCATTTCTGTAGAATCAGCAGTGATGCCTGCACTTTCTTTTCTGATTTTAGTAGTTTCAATCTTTTTTCTTATTCCATCTAAAAGTTTGTCAATTTTATCGATCTTTTTGAAGAACTAACATTTGATTTCACCGATCTCCTCTATTTTCCCATTCTCCATTTTGTTTCTCTCTCTTATCTTTATTATTTCTTTCCTTCTGGTTGCTTTGGGTTTAGTTTGTTCTTGTTCTAATTCCTTAAGTTGTTCAAGCTCATTTTTTTTTCTTTGATGGGATATCTAGTGCAATGCAGAACATGGTAGAAATTTCTATCAAAAGCATATACAGAAGCAAATCACTCCTATAAAAGTGCAGGCAAATACAGTTTGTTTCTTGTAGGATGGCTTTTGATAAGTTTTTCTGAAAAAATACTTCCCAAGATCTACCTTGGGGTGTTAGCAGCACAGAATCTGCCCCCACCACTGCTTTTTTTCTACGTTAGTCACAGCGGTGAACTCTTCTGCCTTTTAACTGTTCCAGTAGCGAGACCAGAAAGTAGGAGACCTGCAGGGGGCCTCTGGTGTCACCTGCTGCCCTCTGCCCCACAGAGCAGAGTTCAGAAGACGACAACTCATCACGGCAGAGACGGCCGACCTCCCGATTCTCAAACTGCTAGGCTCTACTTGGGAAGCACCCACAGCACAGTGACACACACGCACTGTGTTATCAGGCCCACAGTGCTTACATAGTCCACAAAGAAAGCTGGTCTCCTCAAGAAAAACAGATACGTGCACAAATGGCACAAACCGCACAGGTTTCCCAGGAGAAAGGAACAGAGGGCGCATTATGAGAAATCCTTACTTTTCATTGCATTACTTATTGGCTACAAGAGATTTTATAGAAGAGTAAAAATGATCAGAAGGTTAGAGGAAGATCATTTTTCTCCCAAGTGCTGGGGAGTTTATGTGGGCCTGAAAACAGCTCTCCTCTTTCACTGCTGCCACCTGGAGGGGTGGCAGTTCCCCTGATGGGAGGGGGTGCAAAGTCCTGGCTTACCTGCCCGGTCCCAGTAAGGTAAGTCGTAGGTGCCTTCGGTTTTCTTCTTTCTGGAAAAATAGAGAAAAAACATGTTAGCAAACAGAGTGAATTCATGAGTAAGACAGCTCTGGAAGTGCAGGATAAACACTCAAGTTAATAGTTAGTCAGGAGTACACATTTCCATTTGTTGACCTACCCGGCAGGGTCCTCTGTTTCATTTGCCTTTCAAAGTCGCCACTGCTGAAACTCATAAATTTTGAACTCTCAATAAATTTTACACAACCATCTCCTGAGATAGTTATTCTGTTACCCAAGGTACTTCCCGCTTAAGGGATAAAGGAGTAAGAAAGGTTAAGACTGTAGATAAAAAGAATCTCATCAAAGACCCACAGGTGATGTGTGAGTTCTTATGGGAAAGTTATTATTAGGTTTGTTTCAGTTTCAAATACAAACTATGCAAAATCCATTGATTTCCATCTTTGTCCTGAGAATCTGAACATCCATAGGGTCCTTTAAGCACCAGCCAAAACGGATCTCAGGACTTGCCTCCGCCTCCCCATCCTCGCCCTCTGGGCTTTGACCGTAGCGGATGAGACTTGACTGCCTGACTGACCACTCCGCTCTGCTGCGGGTGGACCGGGTGACCTCAGACAAGTCATGTATGCGCTGTCTCTTCTTCCTCTGTAAAACAGTAGCTGCTTTGTAGGTTGTTTTGAGGATTAAAAGAATTGAACCATGTGAAGAACTTACACTAATGCCTAAAATCGGCTTTCATTCTGTATAAAAACGAGCTGTTGCTGCTGTCCTCACTGTTCCTATTGCTTCTACCCAGCTCCCCGAGAGCACCCTGGACTTTCCCTGCCCTCTGAGTAACTTGCTGGGTCTCTGTCCAGACGGCCTTCCTACAGCCATGAATCCAGGATCCAGCTGCTACTTCAGTTTCCTCTGGCGGCATGCAGTGTATGGCGGTACCATCGCTGCCCGTCTTCTGCACTGTATCCTCTCCCAGCCTGTGAACTCTGGGGCTCACACTGGACTCCCAGCACACGCTCGGTACTCAGCACAAGGCAGGAGCTCAAATAGCTGAGGGAACGAATGAAGTCACTCTCTCGTCCACCAAACCTGTCCCTCCTGCTTTGTCATCTCCACCCAGGACATCTCTCCTGGTCTAAGTGCACAAGCCAGAAACTTCCGATCATCTGGGACCCCTCCTCCTTCCTTAGCAGACACACAGTTGCGCCTCATCTCATAATCTCACCCGTCTGCCTCACCCCCCTCAGGGAGACCCCCACCTACCGAATGAAACCTGAATCCCTCTGTCCCCGAAGCCCTCCTGGACCCAGGCCCAGGCTGCGCCTGCACAGTTCTTCCTCAGCACTCTCCCGTGCCCCGCCCGCGCGTGAGCACTCACTGCCCTGCCTGCACTCCACGTCTCTGTGCCTTCGCTCAAGCAGAGTCTGGGCTGTTCTCTACCTTCCTCCATCCAGGCAAATCCAAGGTTCTCGTTAAGGAGAAACAAACTTGAGGATTACTCTTTCCTGCAGAAAAGGTTTCAGATAACTCTCATGGTTCTCACATCTGCGCTCCCCGGCACTTCAAAAAGAACTCCTCCAGCCATATTACAGTTCCGTGTCTTGTCAATCAACCCTGCCAAACACCTGGGAGATAGGAGTTGTGTCTCGTTCTTTCAGGAAATATTACTAAGCAACTATTATGTGTCAGACTGTCGTTCTTATTAACGTGTATATTCCAGCACGTAAAGCAGATTTTGATACAATAAAGGCACTCAGTGACTATGCTATTGAACATACTCATTTTTTATGGAAAGGACAAACCAATGTATTTTGACTTTAATAACTACCTTAACTCTCCCCTTCTCAAAACGGTGAATGGTAGTTCACCTTGTATATCTAGTTGTTATTTCACACTTGGAAACACCCCTTCTAGGACCAAGCAGGTGAGCTGGTTAGGGACTCACCTGTTTCTCCAATGCCAAGCACACACTACTACGAGGATGAGGGTGGTGAGCACCATGACGAGCACCGGGACTAGGACTGCAGCCAAGGCTACATCTGAAAACACACCAAAGGCACAGTCATGAAGATAAAGCGGGAAGGTTACCCACATCATCCTTCAAAGCTTTTCTATCTCAAAAACTGCCACACACACTGTTCATGAAACGAGAATGGGCGTGTGTGAGTAGTGGCAGAAGCTTTCACAGATAACGTGGAAGTGTCACACTACTTGCTTCAGCTTTGTATACACTTAAAACTTTTCATAGTAGCTTTTCAAATCACCAAGACAAACTGAAAGATCAATGAAAAGCTTGGAGAATATATTTCTGAATATCTGATAAAGGGTTACGATCATCTATATATGACAGAATTTACACGTCAAAACCAATCAACAGAAAAATCAGCAGAGATGAATGAGCGATACAATTAAAAAACGTGAGTATTCAACATGTTAGCTTCACTAGTAATCACAGAAACAGAAGTTAAAACAAGAATAAGATGCTATTTCTGCTCATCGAATTGGCAAGTATTTAAAAGAATAATTGTTAGAAAGAATATCAAGAAACAGTTATTTTTATGGGACTTTAAATGGATACTTTCTGTATCATTTTGGGGCAATATGTATAAAAATTGATTACTTGGCAATTCCATGTCTAGAATTTATTCTTAGAAAAAAATTAAGATAGCATTCAAAGATGCATTTTTAAAGTGGCTTCTGTATCTTCAAGAGTGAAAAACTGGAAATAATCCAAATGCCCAAAAACGAAAGGGAATAATACATCATAATATCTTTCTCATAGTAAAATGTTATCCAGCAATTGGAAATGTGTCTATTAGGGGGATGGGGGAAATATTTATAGATATGGGAAGATAACAACACAGTGTTAAGTGTGAAAAAGCCAATTGTATCAACAGGGCAGAAAAGGACAATGCTTGAGCCTGCAGGGATTAGGAGATCATTCAATCCTCTTATCTCCCTCCACAGATAAGGAAGCCCAGGCCCAGATACAGCAAATGGTCTGCCTAAGGTCGCTGGAGACACCAGCTTCTTCCCTAATTTGCACCCCCCACCCCCCATCCTGGCAATGAGGACAGCCACAGCCACTGCTGATCCCTGCTGGGGGCTAAGCGCCAGACACTGTGGGGCCTCACCCACAGCGTCTTAGGTACCCTTATGGTTGTATCCAAGAGAGAAAGAGGCTGCTGATGCGGGAGAGGGAGAGGATAATCAATAACCTGAGGCCTCTGAGAAGGTGGATGGATGGCAACAAGGGCACAGGTGGATCAGCCTTGGACAGTACAAGGAACTTCCTCCTTCCACGCAGTGGACAGAGGGTGCAGGTGAGTTTACAGGCCCCACAAACAGGGAGTTTCCTTCTACTTGCTTTTACTTTCTTTGAAAAGTTGAAGTGGTAACTGAGAGTGAGTAAAGAATCTCTGAGTCAAGGGTTTGAAACACATGGAGAAGTGACTGCTGAGAAGAGACCGAAGAGCTAACCGGAGAAAGAGAAAGACCCCTGGCTGGTGCTGAGGGCCCCATCTGGAGAGGATTCAGGAAGCTACAGTGGCACAAATCTGACCACGATATGATTTTCTCTAGCATCGCTCTCAGCCTGGATGTAAAAATGGAAAAGGAGAAGTGCATAAAACAGAGATCATGACTCAGGGCTAGAAAGCACTAAGAAGTCAGAAGGGTAAATGTGCTTTATCCCTAAAATTTGTGAAACCGGAGAGAGAATAATCAGGTTCAGGTAGATACAGTTCGATTTAATCAGAGGTTTCAAAAAATCTGCTTAGGTTCAAAAAAGAATAAAAAGTCTATATACCACCATCCCAGAGAAAAGGAGACAAGAGGTCTTTAACTGAAAAGACCTGTACATTCTTTGTTACTCTTCTGAAGCTTACAGGAATGCTAGCTCTGGAAGAAAACACTTTAAGGACAGTTTTAGTCTTGAGATTTTAAGATTCTATAATCGGACTTTAAGATGAGCAATACTTTCAAATGACTGTTCTTCCATCCAGACATGTGGTCTGGGATTCTGCCCAAACAGACGTCTTCTGTAAAATGATAAGTTCTGTGGGACACTGAGATCTCTTGTCTCTAGGAAGTCTTCTCTTTAGCTTTTCCAGCAGCATGAGAAAGTGGTCTGTTTAGAAAATACCTTAGAAGATGGGAAAAAAAGTGATATGTGGAAAGTTGGAGAGAGTTACCTGAATCAGGCAAATTTTCAGAAAATGAGAATGAATAAAGTTCTGGGTGGCACAAGTTACTCGGAATGAATTGCTTTCTCTTCTTGGCACTTTCCTGGAAATGCTTTATCTGCCAACACTGAAATTAATTCCTCTATGACACTGATGGTTTCTTCCAAATTCAACTGGAATTTTGTTTTTCAACAACTAGTAAAATCAAAGTATTATGTTTCATATGTGTTAATACCTTATTTATCAGTAATAAAATTTGAAAGTAAATTCTACTACATTTATATTTATAATATGAAAAAATTGTGATCGTAAACATTTTCAAAATAGAGACTGAAGTTTTTTAATGAATATATTAACTCACAGTATTTTTTAAAAAGTGTCAGTTTCCACCCAAATTGGTTTTTTCCCCCTTCTTCCCTTTTTGCCACCAAATTCCCTATCCAACAAATTAATATGTAACCAGAGGGGGTTAAAAAAAGGGGGGGGAAAAAAAAGTTTGTTTCCTGGTATGGTTTTAGTTATTTCTAGAAATAGAGACTCCTTGTGTTTAGCTGTGGTGGGGAAAAAAAGATCACAAGAGGAGACCCAGAATACAGCAGCCATCTCTAAATATTTAAAGAACAATTCTACAATGACGCCAGAGAAGAGAAATCAGAGCAATGTAATCAGTTTCTTTTCCAAGGAGAATAATAAAAGTTTTTTTTTTTTTTTTAAAGATTTATTTATTTATTTGAAAGAGAGAGAGAGATGAGAGAGAGAGAGAGCACATGAGAGGGGGGAGGGTCAGAGGGAGAAGCAGACTCCCTGCTGAGCAGGGAGCCCGATGCGGGACTCGATACGAGGACTCCAGGATCATGACCTGAGCCAAAGGCAGTCACTTAACCAACTGAGCCACCCAGGCACCCAAGTTTTTTCTGTTCTTAAGAAATACAGTTAAGAGGGGGTGCCTGGGTGGCTCAGACGGTTAAGCTTCTGCCTTCAGCTCAGGTCATGATCCCAGCGTCCTGGGATCGAGCGCTGCATCGGCCTCCCTGCTCAGCTGGAAGCCTGCTTCTCCCTCTCCTACTCCCCCTCCTTGTGTTCCCTCTTTCTATGTCAAATAAATTAAAAAAAAACCCTCAAAAAAAAAAAAAAGAAATACAGTTAAGAGGAAAAGAAACTGAGGGTTTAAAAGCTGGAAATGCTCCTGAAAATTAAGTTATAAACAATATAAAATGCTACTATGTAACAGGTGTTAATTTCTGGATTTGCATACCTTTGGTGACACTTGGAGTCACGGTAGTATTTTTGATATCAGGAGTGGCTGTTGTTTGCTCCGTCTGTGCAGGAAACTCATTGTTACTGCGAGGTTGTAGTGGTTGAGTAAATTTTGGGGCTCGACCTTGGAAAAAGTTTTAGTAACTCTTTATTCTTTTATCTACATCAATTTGATTAAAACAAAGTTATTTTATGATGCTTTTAATACATTTATGTAAAATTATACCACAAATCCAGGGAATACCGAATTCTCACACTTAAAGGAGGCATACCTTTGGCTATTTTTGGAGGGGCTGTAGTGTTTTTGAGGTCATTGCTGTTCCGAGGAGGTGGAGGTTGAGTAAGTTTTGGTGGACGACCTTGAAAAATGGTTTAGAAAAGTTTATACATTTTGCTTATAAGAGTCATAGCTAAAAACAGTAATTTAAATATCTTCAACATATCCTAGAGGATTTATTTCTGCCCAGTAATTTTAAATCTTGGACAGCAATATGCCAGAAGGATAAATATACTATGCATTAAACATACAAACTTACTGGGATTTCTCACTTTTTATGAAATTAAATTGTTTTAAAATAATTTTCGTAGAACACGGAGGAGGTGGATGACATTAAACTCTAAAGCTACAGAAGTATCATCACAGCTTGACATACTACTCATTCAATCATTTAATAACTGTGGAGGGCCCACTATGTGGGGGCATTGTGGAAGGTTCTGGAGATAAAACAGTAAATAAAGTATTAAAATATTCTAGAATACTGAGGGAAGTTACTTCTACTTTTAATTTTTTCAAAGGAAAAGGCACTTAGACTAGGGTTACTGTTATAATCATCGGTGTTAATGGTACAATATTATGCTTCATGGGACCTGATTAAAAATTAAGATTGAGACTAGATCTGAAAAGCAATCTCATCTCATTATCTCATTGACGATGCTCTCTTCTTCCACTTGTAACCTTGGAAAACACTCTGGTAACTGGCTTTTTAATAGGATAACTATTTCTTTTAAAAATCCTCTTTAAGAAGATATTGTAGTTAAAAGCTGAACACTCATATTATCACTACTTATTTTCTCTGAGAATAGCAAAGCCATTTTAAATTAAATTACATACTGTTGCTTTACCTTTAGGAATAAACTGACATCCAAGCAGTTCCATTTTCATGGCAATTTTCTGCTGCCATTGCGTAGGATTCACTCTAATAAAACGTGCAATAATTGGTGGCAAAAAGTTATTACGCACATCCTGGTGATAATCTTTGTTTCCTTGAAATATCTTTAAAAAACAAAAAATTGGTACTTTATGTCAACAGAGGTCAGGGCTAAACTGTTCCACTGAAACATATTTTTGGTTTTTGCTTTGGGCCTTAAATGAGATCTGTAAAGTATGACCGTAAGAATTAATTTCTCAGAAAATAAATTAATCATAATTTGGACTATTAAGCAGCTGCACATTCTTCATCAAAAACTAAGAGTACTGAATACAAAAATGATTTTAAAATGATTGAAACATACCAAAAATGCTAATTTGGCAATTTGAGAAGAATGTTTCAGCTGCAGTGAGACAGTGTAATTCTTGTAGTAAATGAGTAATTCTAGTCCTGCGGCACTACCAGCTATTTAAAAATATTAATTTTCAAAGTAAAGCATAATTGAACATACAAGGTCTTAGAGGAAATGCTTTACTGTGTACTTCTCATACTTTTTCTCTCAGAAAAGAGACAGAAAATGAACATACACTAAGGAATGCATAACAGCAATATACCTCCACCTACTGGAGAAACTACATAAAGACAGTTCCTGTATTATCCATTTTCATTCTCTGCTGCTATCTAAACTACACACGTGATTCTGAAACACTGTTGCCTGCCTAATTTTAATGATCCTAAGTAAACAGCAACGGATGCATTATATATATGTATTATACGAATACGATTTCAAGTGACTATTTCATCCCCTCAACCATTTCAAGCAAATAATGATAGTATGTAACACTGCAAGAGCTTATTTACAAAAGCATTTTCATATAAGTAACTCAGCTGTTCTGCATGACAACCCCATGAAGTAGGCAGAACCCAGAAAAGTGCAGCTCCAGAATGTAAACGGACTGCATAACCAGTCAATGACCGAGCAGTGACTTGAGTCCGAGTCTCCTGACTGAACTCTAGGGCTCCATTAAGCGAAAAGTCCTCCTTGTTCCTTTAGGCCAAATCACCGGCTAGTTTCTAAAGGCTACTAATAAATAGATACCTGCCTAAAATCAAAGTGGTTTGTATTTTATCAGTTAATGTGAGAGCAAGTAAATGTTTAACTCTTCCATTAAGTCATGTCCAAATGTAGCTATTTTCTTTTGGCTGATTCACAAAGCATTAGATTGTAAACTTCTAAGACATGTTAATAGCCTTCATTTTCTACAAGGTTTGTTTTGAAGTTATAATAATTTCCAAACTAGTAAACTCCCATTATTTCCTCAGCTATTACTCTGAAATAAAATGAAGGCAAATATTTGCAGTCTATTACATTAGTGTTACAGGAACAATAATCACTTTAGGACATGAAAACTATCCCTGAGGTCTTATTCCACACCACAGTTTCATTTTTATAAAAAACCTTAAAGGAAAAGGATTTTATATAAACTAAGTAAAAAAGATCTGCTATAATCTATGAGCATTTATTATAAGCCCCTGTGTGTAGCAAGGTCGCAAGAAGTCATGAGGATAAAGATGGAAATGGAAGTCCAAGTTCCCACTCTCAAGGAACTTAAATTTTACAGGATATTACCGCACACAGATATGGCACGCTATTAAAAAGCAATATATTATGAAGCAAGTTGTATATTCATTCCTATCTTCTGAAAACAAACCCAAAAGCTGTCTCAGTCTATGTGCTTATGCATGTGTGCATGCTTAGAAAGGGTGTGAAAATGAATACACCAATTACTCTTGAGTTGGAGGCAGATGAGGGAGCAGATGGGCTAATGTGAGGCAAGAGACTGGTATTCTGTATAATTCAGTGTAAGGACTTCCACTTCTATCCAGGACAGACTAACAGGGACTAAGTTTACTCTTTGCCTTAAACATCTGAAAATCAGATATATGAAACAAGGGTTTTTCAACACTGGACAATAGGCAGCATAGGGCTTTAATCCCCGAGAGAAGAGAAACACATGAGGTGAGCCTTTCTATTTTCCCAATATTGTCCGGAGAGAGCCTTGGTGGTCTCACCAAAATGAGGACACTGAGCTCAGAGATGGAGAGGCCAAGATAGCTAGAATTTGTAAGATAGAGTACAGGAGAGAAGACAGCTGCACAGAGAGAGAAAAAGAGACTTCTCGGATCTGTAGGGGGGTTTCCCCTTAAATCTTCAGTTGCATGTAAAGAAACCATCTGTGGATGGGAAAAGAACTGCTGGAAAGGAGCCAGCAGAACAATTCTCAGAGCTAGGTAGGGTTGGGAACAGTTCACATTACCGACAGATATCGTGGAGAAAACTCATAATACATGAGACTTTGGGTTGAGTACTCGGAACAGTACTAACAGTAGAAAAAAAATAGTACTAAAAGCGGCTCAGGTCCTGCCTAAGAAAGCTAAAATGCAGACCTCAAAAAGATCAAACAATTCCAATTATTCCAGGTAACCCATGTCCCAGAATAAAGCTCAAAATCAGATAAATAATAATAGAAAACCTAGCACCAAACAATGTAAAAGTTCATAATGTTTGGCAACCAATAAAAAATTACCAGGTATGTAAAATATGACCCATATTATCCATCAACATGAAAAGACCCACATGTCACACATAAGTAGACAGAATCAGCAGATAAGGGCATCAAAAGAGGTACTATATATTCCATATGTTTTAGGGGCAGAAAAAAGCGTAAACATGCTCAGTAGAAACTTGGAAAAAATTTTAAAAGCCCCAAACTGAAAATCTAGAAGTAAAAGTACAACACTGAAGATAAAAGTACACTGGATAGGATTAATAGATTAGATGTTACAGAACAGATTAGTGAACTTGAAGGCAAAACAATAAAATTTTCCAAACTAGAACATAGAGATTTAAAAAAAAAAAAAAATGAACAGGGCATCAGTAAACTGCGAGACATCTTTTAAGAGTCATAATATTCATGTAATTAGAATTAGGGAGGCAACAAATTTGAGAAAACATGGCCTACAATTTTCCAAATTTGAAGCAAATTATAACCAACAGATCCAAGAAGCTCAAAGAAACCCAAGCAGAAGAAACATGAAGACAACTACACAAAAGCACATCATAATCAAATTGCTTAAAACAGATGATAAAAAGAAAATCTTAACAACAGCTAAGGAATAAAAAGACACATTACATACTGAAGAACAAAGGTATGAAAGATAGAATTCTCACTGGAAAAATGCAAACCAGAAAACAGTGGAACAGCAGATTTAAAGTGTGGAGGGAAAAACATCAACCTAGAATTCTATACCTTATGAAATTATCTTTCAAAAAATGCAGCAAAAGAGAGTCTTTTTCAGAAACATAATTCAATGGTGCTAGATGTTTTTATAATATAAGCATGAATAATTCTTATAATTTTAAAAAATTAACTATATTCCACAAGTATAATAAATATTCTATAAATAAGTATGGATGTGTCCAGAGTAAAAAGCAGCCAAGTTTGGGGTTATTAAGCAGAAGGAAGATAGGTATAAAGACAATACTGTTATTTACTTCAATGGGTAGAGCCTCACCACAGATGAAGGTCATGTGATATCAGGCAGAAGAGAGGGAAGAAGGCCTTGAATAACAACGGAAGAGTTTAGATCCATATGACAGATTATAAGGAGCCCCTGGAGTTTTCTGAATAGAGAGATAAGAAAAGTGGTAATTGAAGATATATTAGCAAATCGTATATATGATAGAGAACAGATAGTATCATATAATTGAAACAAAACTCAGGGAAGTTTCATTAAAAAAATTTGTGCTTATAATTTCAATTCTAGATAAGAAGAAATCTACCTTCCTCGAGGACAAGGACTCCCCCAGTTACAAGGTCTTGCGGTGGATCATGGGCCAGGAGCCTGGGTGAAAGTGGTATCTAGAGGACAGCCACTTCTCCCTACTCCCCACCCCTTATCATCTGCTCTGGAGCATCCCTGCATTATCACTGTCTCCTAACCAAAACAACAATTTGATAATTAACACAAAAGTTAAGGAAATTCTTCAGGTAGGAAAAAACAGAAGTTTTCTAAGACAAAATTTGGTAAGGTGATCTTGAAATGACCTTTCAAGTCTATATCCAACACTATAATGCACTTTTGCCTTTAGCTTTTGTCTTTTGTCCCCCTTGTCTACATAGAAAAGAAATCTGGGAACAAATTAGGCTCTCCATCATTCTGTGGATTAACAAGAAAAACTTAAGACAAGAAATTACAAATTCCTTTCTAGAATTTTTTTTTTAGTAAGTTATCACCACTTACTGAAAATTAGTCATTCATTCATTCATTCATTCATTCATTCATGTAGACTCTACACTCAACGTGGGGTTTGAACTCATGACCCTGATCATTACTCATGATCAAGAGTCCCATGCTATACCGGCTGAGCCAGCAAGGTACCCCTCCTTTTTAGAATATTTTAATAAAGTACCTAAACAATTGAGTTAAAAATGTTAACAATCACCAAAAGGGACCTAGAACCACTGAGAATTTCCTAACTATAGTTAGAAGAGTAAGGCTAATAACCAACACAGCCTAAAATAACCAGAAGAGCACAAAGACCAAATGATAGCTAACTTGAACATCACACAGGAGAGCTTCTGTGATTCTTGGCAAAGGCCCATTTTTTAAAATACCCTGGCAATCATTTTACCTTATCCTGCTCCACACCAGGTTCTCTGTAGACAGTCCATCTCTGTCCATCATCACTGTATAGAATTTTGTAAGCTGACACATAGTAATTGTGTTCCACCATGGTGGAGCCAGTGGTTACAATGCCTGGGGAATGGAAAGTTGCCTTCATTAGTGCACATGGTCTGATCCCTAAAGTCTGTTCAGCATTGAAGCACAAACACCTAAAGTACACTGTTAAAACATTTTTGCCAAAAGCATGTTACCATCTCTAAGTGCAAGGTTTCATTATAACAGCAACTAAATCCTTGGTTTTGTTCCCTTGTAAAGATGCAAGAATTAGGGCGCCTGGATGGCTCAGTCAGTTAAGCGTCTGCCTTCGGCTCAGGTCATGATCCTGGAGTCCCGGGATCGAGTCCCGCATCGAGCTCCCTGCTCAGCGGGGAGCCTGCTTCTCTCTCTCTCTCCCCCCCCACCCCGTCCCTTCCCACTGTTCATTCTCTCTCTCAAAAAATAAAATCTTTAAAAAAAAAAAAAAAGTGCCAAAAATTATGGGTGCACATAAGGAAAGGACTATTCTATTTTGACAGCTTGTGTTCATATCACTGTAAAATATATCTCACCTACCAAGTAACAATGACTCCCTGGGAATGAATGGATTAAAACAATTATTTTTTCCAGTACCATATCAAAATAAATCTTTAACAAAATTACCTAACCCAATTCTAATAAATTATTCTGACCATTTGATAAACTGCTCCAAATAAATTTGTATTCAGCACATGAAGAATATTATTTATAGCACTTAAAATGAACTCCTTGAATATAAATTTCTTTTAATGACTCTAAGAGATGGTTATTTCAAATGTCAAGATCACTTAATTGAAACACTACCTTTAAAGAATCTTATTACAATGAAAAAGAAAAGCTAATAAAAATCAAATACCAACTTCTTTCCTCGGCCACGTTTTATAAAACCTTCAGGAATATTTAACACCAGTAAAGAGAACTTAAAACCATACAATTAAATCTGCGGTGACCTAATTTTCTATGAAAATCTTAGATGTCATCAGGTTTCCAAACAAAATCAGAACTATAAATCATTCTAGAAAATTATGTCTCTTAACCTGTTATCTTCTTTTCTTTATTCAGATCTATTTGTAACCACTGATACTCATCAGTGGCAAAAGCAGCCCAAGGAGGCCCAGGTCTCTTCAGCCTGGCCTTTTCGGGTTTCCAGCTGTTCTCTTGGCCTGTGTGGTCAGTCCACTCCAGCACAGATGATGCTGTTATCTGAGGATCAGCAATCACACCAGATTCCATCCCCAGTGTTCCATAACAACCTGAAAGAAAAAAGACAGTAATTTGGTTTCCAGATAAAAATTCACAATCTGTATTATTTGCTCAATGGAAACTTTCTATTGTACATGCAATTAACATACACTATGCTAGTAATATACTGTAATAGAGGAATTTCAAAAGTAGGCAAATGTTTCTTGGGTCCATGTCTTTGTGTCTCATCAGGCAATGTACATACATATTTATTCACAAGCAATAACCATCAATTTAATGGCAATACATTATCCTCTCCCTGGGACACTATCTCCAGACCAGTGAATGACTCACTCCCTATTGCCATTAGGTGTTTGCTCAGATGTCACATTCTCCACGAGGCCCTACCGTGACCCCACTTAAAACTCCAGACCAGTCCCTCCTGCATTGCCTATCCTCTTTCCTTATTTTTCTACACCTTCTATAATATTATAAAGAGTATATCATATGTAGTAATTTATTTATCCACTGTTTACTGTCAATTTCTCAATACCAGTATTTAAGCTCCAAGAAAGGAGGATTTTGTTTCTTTTCGCTCACTTTTGTTTCACTAGCACCAGGACTGTGCCTGACAAATCAAAGGCACTCAATAAGTATTATCTGTTGAATTAATTACTCCTTCAGACGTATTAAAAAATCAACTTTCCTAAGTAACTTTCCTTGCTTACATGAGCATTTCCCTATTAATATAAAACCTCCAATTTATTCCATCCATTATATTATCATGACATATAGGAAGGTGCAAAAACAAAACAAAACAAAACAAAACAAAACAAAACAAAACAGCAATTGGCATATTGCATGATAGTTTATAAAATATTAACTATTACACAAATTATAATAAGTTATAAAGTCCATGAGAGGCTTACCACTTGTCTTAAATGTAAAAAGACTTGTAGATAAGTGTCCCCTGAAAGACAGAAAAGTTGTTCTTGGTGACACTCATATATTGACTTCCCCATATTTGTCTTAGTAAAACTTTTTCTTCTGTTTTTGTTTTACTGTATAAAGAACTAAGGATATTCTATGGCCACATATTTGACAACTGATGCTGTTCTTAGCCAAAAAAAGTCTCATTTCAAAGCAGAACAACTTCTGAAATCAGCAGAAACAATTTTCTACAAGTATCTAGTGCCTGTTTCATACATGAAATGTGCAAGTATGCCCACGTAACCTTTAATATGTACTTATTTATCTTTCATTCCTCAAACTCCTCTGCATCATTTGCTTTTGTTGCAAGTACACTGTAATTCCCAGAGAATGAGGCTTAAGTTTCCTGGGGGTAAAGGGAAAAAAAGCTGGCTACAAACAGGAGAGACTGCATCTGTTATAGGATATAAACAGCTAAGAACAAGTTTCAGTGTTACAATGCAACACGCATCTGGATTTCAAAGTAACAGGCAAGTAAATGCAGTTGGGGAGAATGGAGCCATGGGACACATGACCAGTTTACCAAGGACTCTAAAGAACCTGGGGGGATAAAATCATCAGTGTCTGCTCCTGCTTTAGCACAAAACATTCAAAGCATTATTACAAGTGGATGCAACCTGTCCTTCTTTTTTTCTTAAAGTATGAAAGAAAGAACTGACAAAAAAAATTATTTCTAAAGGCAGAAGAGGGGAAAGGAATGATAAGGTCTGCATAAAATCATCTAGAAGAAACCAAGAGAAGGAAAGGTTGCTAACTCTATACCAGGGATGGGCAAATGATAGCTCGCTCATGGATGGCCTGTTTTGCATGGCCAGTGAGCGCAGAATGGTTTCTACACGTTTAAAGAGTCTTATATAAACCAAGAAAGAATAAGTGACAGGGACGGGTGGCCCGTAAAGCCTAATATATTTGCTAGCTGGTCCTTTACAGGAAAAGTTTGGTGACTCCTATTTTATCACAGTCATGGATATGGATCATGCTCTCATCTTCTGAATGAAAACTGGCCTAGAACCTCTGAAGAGAAGCTGGTTTCAGTTAGGCTTAGTATTGTCTAGAGGACTGAGCCCATGTGACAGGCAAGATTTACTAAAACAGATTCCAAGTATTACATTTCTATTTAATGTTTCAACTTTTCCTGCTTTTGATGCCTAGTCTATGTTTCATAAAACAGATCACTGTAGTGACTATAAAAATACACTCTTCAAATATTCTCTTTGGAGGAGAGGAGGATTCATAATATGACTACCTCTGATTTACGTCAAAATTTAATTTATATTCAAGAGTATTTCAGTTATCCTCAATCCATCCTAGGTCACACTGGCTGTAAGAAACAGAGCAGTTATGCCTTCTACTCTTTAAAATGCAGTAAAAATTTGGCCACAGACTTTTAGAGCTTTACTCTAGACATTTTCAACATTCAGAAAAGAACAAATCATCCTTCTAAATGACTCCCGGTGCAACCCTGCCTGTCCTCTTCAGTACATGCGGACAAGGAGCACACAAAAATGGGAGGGCTAATCACACAAATGTTATTTCTTGAACGCCGTTAACAGTGATGTTGCTGAGGTCTAACTAGCTGCTGTCCCACCCCTGCCCCACACCCTTCCTTATATGACCAATAACATATATACTTACACCACAGACGTGACGTTGTTGGCCAAAGAACTCTCATAGTATGGGATACCTTTACTAATTACAACACTGATCTGGCCACCCAAAACGTCTGACACTACTCCTGCGTGCACACCAGCCATGCACAAGGGCGAGGACTTGAGGAAGGAAAAACAAAAGATTAGTATTTAATTTTCTTTTGATAAGTTATGAACAAGACACTTAGGCTTCCTCAAGAAATGAGTTGACCGGGGCAGTTTTCTCAGTAAACACAGGATTACCGATGTGGTAACAGAGTACAGACTTGTAGCACAAGAAGAAGAATAAAACATCACATCCATGATAAAAAGAAATACTTCCTAGAAAATAAATCGAGACGAAAGATACACACAAGGTACATCAACATATTCTGGAGTTAAAAAAATGAAAAGTTCTATCACAGCTTGAATGTAAGTCTACGTTACTTAGACTTACATCTCTATATCCATGAGGGACTGTTCCAGATATCTCAGCAAAAGGAAGCAGACAACCAGCTGGGCAGTACTTACTGTGAAATAAAAACAAGTTAAAGGGTATAAAATAGTTCTGTACTTACTGGGGGAAAAGAACAACAACAAAAAATCACATATTCATTTCTCAGTTCATTCAAATACTATAATCTCACTACCCTGAGAAGCACTACTTCTAAAAAGCCCTTTCACACTTTATTCCATCCATCCATATAAAACATCTTCACCCACATATTTAAAATACTGTGTCATATTCTACATACTGCTTTATTTTACTTCATAATGAATGGCAGACATATTTTTACTATAAGACCTATTCATATTTAACAGCTACCTGCTATTCTATTTTGTGGATAAACCACAATTTATTTCACCAACCCACTACTGATCAAATGTGACTTAAAAATGTTTGGCATTCAGTCATGTATTCACTCACTCACCCACCCACCCACTCAACACATTTACCCAAATGTCTAGTATGTTGTCTGTTGAGTGCTGGGCTGTGGTAGGTATTGGGTTTACAAACATCAACCAAATAAATATGGCCCAGTCTTCCCTGGGTTTACGCTCCAGAGGTCAGGGGGAAGACATTAAACTAATACTTCAATGAGTCATTAATCAGATTATGATTCTACGAAGAAAAGACACTCCATGAAATAACCCAGAGGAAGCAAGCTTAATAAAAGTAACACAAACATTCAGCAAATTTACTTTGTGCCAGGCGGCCTTCTGAGTACCTCAGGAACCCACACAAGAACCCTAATGGTAGGTATTAGTATTATCTTCATTTTACAGATGAGGAAACTGAGAAACAGTGTGCCCAGGTCCCATAACTGGTAAGTGGCATATGGGCTCCAGAGTCGATGCTCTTACACAGGGCTCTGCACTGCCAAAGTCAGGAAATGGGGCTCTGAGGAAGCAAAGCCTCAGTGAAGGGAGGGAAATGCAGCCTAATGGACGGAACAGTGTGCCCATGAGGTGAGGTGGCCTGTGTGTGTCTTCAACTGGGACGACCAGTGCAGGCAGAGTACAGTGATACTGTAAAACTAAAAGGTAACAGTAGTTTGAGAGACGGTTGAAGAGGTGGGCAGGAGTCAGATCGTGCAGAAGCCTTGTGAGCTAGGGCGAAGAGTCTGGAATATATTTCTAAGTAAAAATGGGAAGTCAATAAAGGATCTTAAGGCTTACACACACATTTCTGAAAAAGATTATTCGGGCTCCCGAGAAGAAAGAGACTGGAAGGAACCCTGAGGAGAAGCTGAGACCTCAGTGGGCTGGCGGCGCAGCGGCCCAGGCAAGAGCAAACGGCAGCTTGCCTGTGGGTGGGGATGCTGGAGCTGAGAGCAGAGGCTCCAAGACCCGGTGGCAGGGCTGTGTGCCAGACACTGATGCCAGAGTCACCTCGGCTCACCGGGATCCTCTGTAAGTGCTGACGAGCACACCCATCCCACAGACAGAGAACTATACTTGAAGACAAAATAAAGGTTGCTCTTTGAGGAACGGTAGCAAGTTGGGGGGAGGTGAGTGAGACCAGTCTTAGAAGATGAGAATAAAGCTGCCAAGCAGAGAGGAGTAAAGCAATTCCGGGTAAAAGTTCTGAGAGCTCAGAGCAGTGTCAAGAATCCGTAAGTACAGGGGCACCTGGGTGGCTCAGTAGGTTAAGCGTCTGCCTTTGGCTCCGGTCATGATCCTGGAGTCCCGGGATCGAGTCCCGCATCGGGCTCCCTGCTCAGTGGGGAGTCTGCTTCTCCCTCTGACCCTCCCCCCCCTTAGGCTCACTCTCTCCCTCTCTCTCTAAAATAAATACATAAATAAATCTTAAAAAAAAAATCCATAAGTACATAAGATGAGACTGGAAAAATGATCCAAGGACTACCTGGGAAGGATCCTGAAACTTAGGCTAAGAAATCTGGATGGCATTTTGTCTTAATAATAAGGAGCTCCTGAAGATTTTAAAGTAGGGGAATGATCAGGCATTTATTTTAGAATGAAACTTGGCAGCAATGTGAGTGGCAGAATAAAAGCCAGCAAAGGTTAGAAATGGAAAATCAAATAGAAGGGAATCCCAGTCCAGACAAGAGACAAGGACATAAAGCAGGCAAACAGTAGCAGAAATGCTGCTTGGGCAAGAACACTGAAGAATTCTGTCATAGCCTAAATCGTTCTCTTCCCTTTTTTGAGGAAAAAAAAAAAGTTAGCTCCTCTAACTTCATTAGCAGTTTTGCCAGATTTTGAAAAGCAACTAGTTCTACTTTTGAAGTATACTGAAATTATACTTTCGTTATAGAGAAGATCCAAATGCTACAATTAGAGCAAAATTTAAATATGGTAACTCAATGGCTTTAAATAAGCTCTAATTTATTGACGTCTTACAACAATGATTATCTGTCACACCTGTGACACATATATTAATGTACATTAAACCTAAGTGTATAAGAATAATGATGGAGTAGTGAAGAGTAACATTTAAGGGGAAAAAAAGTCACAAATATCGTCATACCTGAACTCAGGTTCCAAAAAACTGGATGCAGTGTCTAAACAAGTAATTAGATCTAGAAAAACAAAAATAAAAAACGGATTCAATAATACGTAGGCTTACTCTTTCTGAAACACCAACTCTTTCCAAATCCCAAATGATACTGTTCTAAATTTTAAATCTCAACAGCTGTCAAAGTAGGACTAGTAACTTCTTACAAGTTTTTGTTAGTCATGATTTCTTTTTGATTTTAAGTATCTTGATTTCTGGGGCTATGCCTCTCCAATACGGTTTGTTACCACATCACCTCATAGAGTCCTGTGTGTACATATATACATATATACACACATACATAAGGTACACAGGTAAGTATAAATATATAGACTTAAAATAACTTCTATAAAATACAGCTCCTGAAAAAAGAAAAATAATTACATAACTAAAAAATGATCCTTTACTAGTTATACACAAGGAAAACAATGACAAGACAGATGAATTAATTTTGTTACTCTAAGGAACTGAAAGGATACTGAAAATCTAGGAATATATTTCTAAGTAAAAACGGGAAGGCCAGGACCAGCAGCACCAGCAACTTCTGCAAACTTAATAGAAATTCAAATTCTTGAACACCATCCAGACTTACAGAATCTCTGGGAGTGGAGACCCAAAAATCTGCTTTAACAAGTCCTTTAGTTAATTCTTAAGCACAGTAAAGTTGAAGAAACAATGATCTAAATAAGAAGGAACTCTAAAACTCAACATTTCTATCTAGAAATCAAATCTGAATAAGAGCTAACCTGTTTCATTAAGACTTAGTTCGTAAGCTGGGTAAAAGTGGCGGCCTGGTCCTGTCTCAGTCTTGTTTTGTACCTGTGCTGGTTTCCTGCCATACTAGCCGCCTTTGGTCCCTCTGGCACATGCTGCCCTCTCGATTATGGAATGATTTTCCACTGTCCCTTAGCCTTGCTGGCTTAACTGTCACTTCCTCACAGAAGCTGTTCCTCATCTTCACAAGTCAAACACCTTTCACACATAGTAGGCACCTAAGATTTTTTTGGTTGTTTTAATGAGTAGGTGACTATTACGTGTTCTCAAAGTACGAAGTGTTATGTAAGAAAAATCCACTAATGCAGTTGTAGGATTCTAAGCAACATCATTTTATGATGCCTGGTCTATGGACAGAGAAGGCTGTCAGTCCTCACCTTTGTTTGGTCAGCAGCAATCACAGCATTTGGCATAACAGGAGGCTTTCATTCAACATTTATTGAATAAATGGATGAATAACAGTTTGTGACTGTTAGCATGTTTGGCTAAGTACAATCATGGACTAACTTGTATGGAGGTAAACCTATAAGGCCCTAATAAGGCAATCCCAAAGGTAAGTGATTTCACATATAAATGCCTGGCCGAACAAGTGTGCTAAGGGTGACAATACACTGAGGAGATAATACCCCACAGGATCCTAGCACACTGATGGCATGCAAATAGTTAATTTTTTTTTTTTCTTTTGGTCAGAAAGAGAGAGAGAGCACAAGCAGGTGGAATGGCAGGCGGAAGGAGAAACAGGCTCCCTGCTGAGCAAGGAGCCCGATGCAGGACTTGATCCCAGGACCCTGGGATCATGACCTGAGCCGAAGGCAGATGCTTAACCGACTGAGTCACCCAGGCACCCTGCAAATATTCATTAAATTAATGGCCACCACAGCAAGCATAGATAATGAATGGATTATTCTATAATTCTGAAGAAAGTACATGATTATCACCCAAATGAAATGTATCTTGGAAGAACTCAGCACAACTGTTAGACCAACAGGAAAGTGATATTTTGAGAGCAATTACATGATTAATGGATTAATACACCACAGGCCCTTGAATGATGATTAAATCTGTGTTTTAGGAGTTTAAGAGAATACACCTGGATAGGGGTTCACGACTACCTGGCTGAGAGAAAAGCAGACATACTAAATCACCTATACCCTGGTTATTCCTGGCAATCTAATAGCCTGGGATGCAAAGGTACCTGTGTGGTCCAACGTGGCCTCAAAACCACAAGACGACTGCCAGCTGGCCCCATTATTTTCAGGCCACATGCTGGAATGCTGGTCAACTACAGATATACTTGATCAGGACAGGGTTTTATTCTAAGTCCATGCAAATGTATGCAACTCACTTGACCACTGCTTTCAAATTCCATGGGGGCTCAAAAGAGGTCCCTAGGAGGAAAATAGGAATTCAAAATGGACAGCTATGAGGAAAGCCAAGAAGACTAAAGACAGAAAATCATGATTACAAATACTGAGCTTTATAACTCCACAGAGGCAAGGAAAACCTCAAGCCTGCAATTAAGATGCTTTAAAACGTGTCTTTCCTGAAAGCTTTTCCCAAGTAAACAGCCTTCCAGAAAACCATTATTACTACAAGGCTCCCAGCTAATAACACAGCTTAGGCAGGATGAATACAGCTCAAAAGAAACCATCTGCCTCAGAGCCTTCTGATAGCAATGTATAAAAAGTTAAAACAAATGGAACAGAAGTGAGAGTCCAGAAATGAATTCTAAATTTAAAGCCAACTGATTTTGATAAGGATGCCAAAACAATTCAGTGGGAAGGAAGAATAAGTCTTTTTAACAAATGGTGCTGGGACAAGAGGATATCCACATGCAAAAGAATAAAACTGGACCCCTACCTGTGATCCCATACAAAAAGTAAAGGGGATCTAAATTTAAGAGCCAAAACTATAACACTCTTAGAAGAAACTGTAGGTGTAAATCTAGACCTTAGATTAAGCGGTTTTCTTAGCTATGATACCAAAAAAACATAAGTAGCCACATAAAAATACATAAATTGAATTTCATCAAAATTAAAAACTTTTGTGCTTCAAAGAATGCTATCATGAAAGAGAAAGATAATCTGCACAATGGGAGAAAATATTTGCAAGTCATATAATCTGATAAGGATCTAGTACCCAATAAAGAATTATTCCAACTTGATTTTAAAAAGACAACCCAACTTAAAAATGAGCAAAGGATCTGAATAGACTACTCCAAAGGAGATATACAAATGGCCAATAAGCACATGAAAAGATTCTCAACATAACTAAGTATCAGGGAAATGCAAATCAAAGTCACAATGAGATAACACGTTATACGCACTGGGATGTCCAGAATCAAAAGGAAGTGGAGAAAAGAAATTGGAACCCACATGCACTTTTTGAGGGATTTTTAAATGGTGTAGCTGCTTTAGAAAACAGTTTAGTAGTTTCTTAAAAAAGGGTAAGGGTGCCTGGGTGGCTCAGTCAAAGTGTCTGCCTTCAGCTTAAGTCATGATCTCAGGGTCCTGGGATCGAGCTCCACGTTGGACTCCCTGCTCAGCAGAGAGTCTGCTTCTCCCTCTTCCTCTGCCCCTCACTCCCGCTCATGCTTTCAATCTCTGTCTCTCGCTCTACTCTCTCTCAAATAAAAATCTTTAAAAATAATTAATTAATTAATTAATTTGAAAAGGGTAAACACATAGATACCATATGACCTAGCAATTCCACTACTAGAATATACCCAAGAAAAATGAAAATGTATATCCATACAAACACCTGTACACAAATGTTTATCAACTAATGAATGGATCAGTGTGGTATATCCATACAATGGAATATTACTCAGCCACAGAAAAGAATGAAGTACTCATACATGCTACAACATGACCTCTGAAAACATGCTAAGTAAAAAGAAGCCAGCCACGAAAGACCACACATTGTATGACTCCATTTATATGTAATATCCCAAATAGGTAAATCTATAGAGAATAAAGTAGATTAGTGGTTACCTAGGACTGGAGAGGGAGAGATTTAAGGGGTAGGGAATGGGGAATGACCACCAGTGACTACGGAGCTTCTTTTGGGGTGATGAAAATGTTCTAAAATTGACTATGGTGATGACGGCACAACTGCGAACATACTGACAACCAATGAATTGTATCTTTTGAGTAGGTGAAATGTACGGTAGAATAAAACTGTAATAAAAACTTTAAAAATGAAGAAAAAGAAGCTATCACAAAAGCAGTAACACCCTTCCTTTATAGAGAGCACATGTGCCTTGAGGGAAAAATAAAGCCTGGAAAAAGGGCTGGGATTGGCAGTTTGCTTGTTTATTCATTTGTTCATTCACTCACTCAACAAATACTTAGTATGTATTATGACCAGGTGTTGTTCTAGGTACTAGAGATAAAGCAAAGAACACTCAGACAAAAATCTCTGCATATAGGAAGTGTACCCTATGTGAGGGATAAGAGAAAACAGTATGAATGAGAAACAGACATATTGTTAGCAGGTGATAAACACATTAGAAAAAATAAGGAAAGACAGGTAGGAAAAGTTAAGGGGTTGCGATTTTAAGTAACACAGTCAGGACAGACCTTACTGAGAAGGTGGCAGGTAAATAAAACTCTAAAATAGGTGAGGGAGTGAGGTATGTGTGGGGATAACACAGAATAGGCAGAGGAAGCACACTTAGCATGTTTGCTGCCACAGGAAACAAGGGAAAGACAATTAAGAGAAGTCAGACGAGGAATGAGAAGCCATCTCCTATAGGATCCTGGAGGTAAGGACATTGAACAAAGTGAGATGAGACCTTCATTTTAATAGGATCATACTCACCACTGGATTGAGAGTAGGTTGAAGGGGAGAAAGGACAGAAAGAAAGGTCAGCAAAAAAATCTCTTGCCATAACTGAGGTAGGAGTAGATGGTGACGTGAATGGGAGTGGCAGTAGCGGAGGTGTTGAGATGTGGTCAGAAGCGGATATATGTACATACAGACTCTGAGAAGTGGCTAATGGATATAAAGTTGGAGAGACTCAAAGACAATGCTAAGGTTTCTGGCCACAGCAAATTAAAAGATGAACTTATTTTATGTAAAGTGCTTAGGCAGTGATTATAATAGTAAGTAATGATAAAGTACTCATTGTCAAGTGAATTGTCACAGTGGACCCACTGGAAGATGTCCTGTAACGCCAGAAAATCAGTGGTATGTTCAAAGTGCAAGGCAGTATATAATTTACTCCCTTCTCAACTAAGAGCGTCTGTA